CCCTGGCCAGGCACAGGAGAGGGAGAGATGATGGGGTTCAGCCCGCTGAGGCTCCTGAGGCGCCGGTCAGGAATTTCAGAGTATAACCTTGGCTCTGGGTTTTTATTAGTTGCCCCTGCTGACGGGGAGGGGGTGCCTGCTGCGTGCGGCTCTGGGCTGGGGCTGCGCCTCCGGAGCTGGTGCCGAGGTCCCCGGCAGCTGAGCAGCGGAAGCACTTGACTGTCAGTTGCTTGGTGTTCCCATCTCCAGCTCCTCGTCTTCCTCCTCCGACCAGCTCAAGCTGTCATCCGAGTCCTCCCGCTGCGCTGCCCCAGGCTCGGCTGCATCTGCAGCCTCCTTCTGCTGCTCGCCGTGGGAGTGTGGCCTGTGCTGGGGGAGCTCCAGCCTGGCCCAGGAGCCAGGGCTGGCTTTGCAAAGTGTGATCTCCACCTTGGTAGGGACCATGCTCACAAAGCTCTTCTCCGTTTCAATAACCTGGAGAGAGGGAAAGGTGCAGTGAACGGGGCCAGGGAGCGCCAGCAGCACATGCTCAGCCTTCCCGTACTGGCACGCCAGAGGAGAGAGGACACATCTCCCCTCCTCATGTGCCAGGAGGCAGAGCTGGGTGAAACCTGGGCCGCATCAGAGCATCACGGTGTTAGTCTAAGCAGCACTGCAGCGCTGGTGGAGCTTCGGAGAGCTCAGATACCCACAGCCACCTGCACGGCCGCGGTACAGCTCTCGCCCCACGGCAGCGAGCTGCGCTGGGGCACGGGCATACCCACAGCAGGCAGCACGCTCTGCTGCCCACGGGCACAGGCAGCACACGCCAGAAATAAAGGCAAGAAATACACATGCAAATTCCCAGAGTCTCACTGCTCCTCCCCAGCCCTCAAGGAGCTAGGAAATCAGAGCGAGTCTCTCCCCTCACACTGCTGCCTGGCACTGCAGGATTGCTGGGGGAGACAGGGACCTGCTGGGGCAAAGACTTGTTAGGGCAGCCTGGAGCCAAAGCCAGAACGCTACAGCGCCAGCAGCAACATCCAGCTCTGCTCTTAGTCCAGGATTGATTGGTGCAGCACCGGCAGCCTCCGAAACAGCCCTTCTCACCACTCCTAAGGCATTTCCTGGCAGAGATGGCTATAAATGCCAAGACCTGGGCGACCTGGCTCCCAGAGGATGCCAACAAGAGCAAGCCAGCACTGTGGCAGCGTATAAAAGAGAGCAGCCATGGTAGTGTGGAGCAGTCAGATGGGCACCGAGCCCAGGCACAGTCCTGGCATGGCTGCCACTACGGGGTCAATAGAGCAAAACCTCATTTCCCCATCAGCCTTTGCTGCCACAGAACGCTGGAGCTCTGGAGATAAATGCGTCCTCTCTGCTGTGAGAATCGTGGTGGACCCGTGTTCTCCACAAGATTTGGGAGCTGGCAGTGAATCACACCGAGGGAGGGACTATGAAATGGCTGTTTGTTCCACAGATGTGCCAGACAGGAGAGACAGCATCTCGGGGGCCACAGCATTTCACAGCAGTAATACAGTCAAAGTCTGCCTCATGCTCTGTGCACAGGAAGGACTGTGCAGAAATCACAGCAACAACCATTGGGCTGCTTTTTCAGAAGTCTGGGAATCCTGGGTATGCAGGGAGTAATTTTCCTTACTTGGAGCCTGTGTTTAGGGCTCCAAATGCTTTGCCCAGAGCACAAGCTGCAGCATGGCAGCCTAGCCCCACGCAGCCTACAAGAACAGGGAAATCAAACAGGATCTTACCCCCCAGAGATCCAGTTCTGCCTGGAAAATCTTATTTCCTTCGAAGGTGATGTGAACCTCAAGCTGAAAGATCAACAGAAAATTACCTGAGTGGGTAGCACAGCCCTGCCAGAGCTCTTCCCCCAGAGAGCGCAGCTGCCTTCCGGCACCGTAACGCATCCCACGTCCTGGCTCCAGTGTAAGGTGTGCCGATTCCCTCAGCACGTGTGAGCATTTCACCCCCTTCACAGCATGCTGGGTTCACCTCTGCCGCAGCTCAGGGAGTTCAAGGTCACTCACTGACGCCAAAAGCCACTGAGCCAGAGCGGCCGGGCCGATGCTGCTGG